TTTAACTTATCAACCTCCAAGCAAAGGCAGTGGTAACAAAAGCGGGGTTAAGGGGGGGCCGGGGGAGATTGTTAAGTAGTCCGTGATTCCTGTTCTCTCTCCTCAGCTGTGTTTCTCCTGCCCAAATCAGCACCCTTCGTTCCCACCGTTAGCCAGCCTGGGTTTCCCACTCCCATCTCAGCTCACACCACCTCCCTGCTGCCTTGTTGCTGGGCTGTCTTCTCGTCCCACAAACTTCCGATTTATCTCCACCTCCGGGTTTTTCTGTCCTATTTGCCTGCCCCACATAGTTGCTCTCCTCGCAGGGCTCTGCTAAAATAACTTTCTCAGAGAGTGTGTCCCCATCACCCTATCCAACATGTTACCCTGTCTCTACTCTCTTTTATTTTCTTCTTAGAGCTTATCTAAAATTGTTTGCCTAAGTCCTTGTCTTTGTTTTGTAAAATGTGAGAGTCACGAGGCTAAGGGACTTTGTCTTCTTTATTGACGTAAACACTGCCTGGCACACAAAATGCTCAATAGCTGCTGGTGGAATGAGTCACTGACCTCCAAGCCTGTCCTTGCTAATGATGCTGCCCTTGGTGACCTTCCTTGCTTGGGAACCAGAAGTCGGTCTTTGAATGATGAACAGAGTAGGAAAAAATTGGTGCTGCTAATCATTGCTTGAAAAAAAGCCATGTGACTTTCATTTTCCTTACCCAGGGGCCTGATAATATTCCCATTTCACCTTTAATATTCTCTTTGCTCTTTTGAAGTCAGCCTGCCACCTACCCACCTGTCTGCCTCCCTCCCTCCCTTTTCCTCCTTTTTCCCCCTCAAAATTGCCTGATTCCCATTTAAACTAGATTTTCTCAGAGTTCAATAAGGTGAGGGAATACAGTGTGATTTGCCCTGAGATCGTTTAGAATGCTGGAAAGGAGGTGGGAGGTCATTTAATCAAAATTTCCAGTTTCTAGATGACGAAACAGGCTAGGGGGCTATGACTTTCCCAAGGTCCCAGTTAGTGACAAAACTAGGACTTCAAGCCCAGGTTTTCTAGTTCCCACTTCAGTCAGATGCTTCTAAATCTGTGCCCAAGCCCACGATTTAGCTAGTTGTTGACTGACCAATTAATGACATGAGAAACATCCTCACTCATTGGGAGAATTAAAGGAAAGTGCGCACTGCATGTCACCTGGAAGCCTTCGGTGGTGTCAGCTTTTGCTCTTTCTCCCTTCATCCTCCTCTCTCTCTCTCTCTCTCTCTCTCTCTCTCTCTCTCTCTCTCTCTCTCTCTCTCTCTCTCTCTCTCTCTCTCTTACAGTCCTGGCTATGCTCATGGAGGAGAACTTGTACTTTCCTTAGTTTAACTGTTTCCTTCTCTGCACTCAACTATAGATCCTCCTCAAAGCCATTTGGCTTTCAGCCCTCACATGACCAGAATTGTCTAGACAAGTGAAACTATAAAAGCTTTATTTTAAAAAATTACTCTAGGGCCGGCCGAGTGGCGTGATGGTTAAGAACTCGCTTGGGATGCCAGAGGGCCCCAGTTCGGATCCCACATATGAGGGCCAGTGAACACTGCCCTCTACAGCTAAGATGCTGAACAACAGCTCAACCTGGAGCTGGGCTGCTGTGAGTCGCCAGCAATGGTGTAGGCTGCAACCCCTGTGGCAGTGGGTTGCCATGGGCTACCGTATGTAGCCAGCAGCCAGCGTGAGTGGCCAGCANGAGCGCAATGATGGTGCCAACTTGGGCCAGTGAAGCAACGTTCTCCACAACTAGACTGAAGAACAAAAGGACAGCAACTTGTCTGTTCCCCTTCCTCCAATTCCCCATAAAAATCTTAAAAAAAAAAGAATATAACAAACACTCGTGTACTTAACAACTTAGCTTAAAAAGAAAACATTAATAGTATATCCAATTCCCCCTGTGTACTCTTCCCTGATTATCCCCTCCTTTCTGTTTCCAATAGGACATCACTGTCTTGAATGGTTCTCATCCTCATTATTAGTGTTGTTCTGCATACTGGTAAACTTTACATAAATATCATTACGCTGTAGTTTTCTTCTGTAGCTTGTTTTTTTTTTTACCATCTTTGTGAGATTCATCCATGTTGATACACATAGCTGTAATCCATTAATTTCTACTTTTACATAATGTCCCAGAATACGACCACATTGCAATTTTAAAAGTTCATTCTCTTCTTAATGGATATTTAGGTTGTTTATAAGAGTTAAGATTGCTTTGAATATTCTCATATGTGTCCCCATGTAAATATGCAAGAGTTTATTTATTCTAGGGCACATATATAGGAATGGATTATTGGGTTTTAGGGTATAAATTTTTTCAGCTTCACTAGATTTTGTCAAGTTGTTTTCAGAGGTTGTTGTAATTATTTATACTCCTATCAGCAGTGTTTAAAAATTCCTGTTGTTATTGAAAAATGGGCAGAGAAATTGATTAAATATTTTCTAAAGAAGACACACAAATTGCCAACGGGTACATGAAAAGGTACTCAACGTCACTAATCATCAGGGAAATGAAAATCAAAACCACAATGAAATATCATCTCACATGTCTTAGAATGGCTGTCATCAAATAGACAGCTAATAACAAGTGTTGGTGAGGATGTGGAGAAAAGGCAACCCCTGTGCACTGTTGGTGGGAATGTAAATTGGTACAGCCACTATGGAAAACAGTATGGAGGTGCCTTAAAAAAAAAAATAAAACTAGCATATGATCCAGCAATTCCACTCTGGGTATATATCTGAAGAAAATGAAAACACATCTTGAAGAGATATCTGTACTACTATGTTCATTGCAGCATTATTTACAATAGCCAAGACATGGATACAACCTAAGTGTCCACTGATGGATGAATGAATAAAGAAGATGTGTCATATATATACAATGTAATGTTATTAAGCCACAGAAAGGGGGGAAATCCTGCCATTTGTGACATGTATGCACCTTGAGGGCATTATGCTAAGTGAAATAAGTCAGACAGAGAAAGACAAATACTGTATAATCTCACTTATATGTGGAATCTAAAAAAAATATGAAATAATAGAAACAGAGAACAGATTGGTAGTTGCCAGAGACAAGGTTTTGAGGAACTAGATGAAGGTATAAACTTCCAGTTATAAGTTCTGGGGATGTAATGTATAGCATGGTAACTATAGTTAACAATATTATATTGTATATTTGAAAGTTGCTAAGAAAGTAGATCTTAACATTCTCACCACACACAATAAAATTGCAACTATGTGAGGTGATGAATATTAACTAGACTAATGTGGTAATCATATTGCAATATATACTTGTATCAAATCATTATGTTGTACATCTAAAGTGAATGTAATGTTACATGTCAATTATATCTCAATAAAACTAGGGGAAAACCCCATTGTTTTTCATCATTTGTAAACATTTTCACCATTTTAGAGTGCCGAGAGATAGAAGATAGAAATGTACAAAAACATGATCGTATAGTGGAAAACATGTTTCAATTTGTACAATGGGAAAACAAAAGAAAAGTAATAGAGAAATCCTCTGTATCTAGAAGCATAAAAAAGTACAAGGAAAGGAGGGACAGTTGGGAGCATCTTTGAAATAAGACTGGTGACATCTCATAGGGTCAAACTGCTAAGTTGAGGGTTGGCAGGTTCTTGGTGTTTCTTCCATGATTCATAAAGTGCAAAATGGTCACATTTGACTCACAAATTACCCATGATGTGCCTACGTGGCAAAGGAATCACTTTCACATAACTCTTTGTTCACAATACTCAAATGAATTTTATCAGTCCTACTGACAAGATTCAATTTGGTGTCTTGGATCTCTGTTAACTATAGAATGTTATGTAGAGAAAATATTTAAAATTATATATTGAGAGTTATCAGGGGCTTTTAATTAACAATACACACATAAATTATAATATAATATAATATAATATATAAATATATTTCTGGACAGTCAATTTTTTTTTTTAGTAGTCTGGAATTTTAACAATGAAGCCAATACCTGTTAATGGAAGGCGATGTGACCAAAACAGAAATCGTCAACCTACTTTTTAATACTGTCCCAAATCTAAAGAAAAAAAATTAATGTTATTATAAGCAGCTGGATAAGAACTGAACGTTTGTTTTTGTTTATATGTAACTAAAACTGGAAGACAGAAAATGTGAGAGTAATGTGTTACCGGAGTAGGTTTAAGTGCTCTTATTTGAGGGAAAAAGGTAAATTAGAATAACTTAGATATTAAATTAGGCTTTGAGTAGGTTTCCCCCCCCCCTTTTTCCTGGCTATGGAGTTTAGGAATGATTTCTCAAAGCAAGAAAAAATATTTGTGATTACTCTCATTAGAAATGTCATTAGCAAGTTTCTTGGAGGCCATAGAGTGGTTGACTGATTTTCTGTGTGACAGTCTTCCTCAATCTCTGAATTAAAATGGCCTGCTATCTTACATTGGCACATCTTTTTGTAGTTGCAAAGTGTTACATCAATTTTTTATAATGGTGGCAATAACCTGCTTCATGTCCTCAACTCTGAAAAGAAAGTTGAATTTATATCAAATGGAAAAACCATTTAAATCAAAGTTTCTGACAAAAGCAATAGTTTGGGGCAATGATAAACTGAATTGAAACCACTGAGTGGCTCAGATTATGCGCACGTGTGCAATCTTCCAAACAAATTACCCAAAAAATGTTCTTTCGTATCTTCCAAGTCTAAACGATTTTAAGCTTGTCTGCAAACTTGCAAGTAGAGAAGTTTGAGGGTATACAGTTGATCCTTGAACAACAGGGTTTGAACTGTGCGGGTCCATTTTTGAGATGATTTTTTTCAATAAATTCAGTCAACCCTTTGGTATCCTTGGGTTTCGCATCCACGATTCAACTGGCCAGAGATTGAAAACAGTATTTACATATTCCTAGCCGCAGATTCGCAACTGAGCGTCTTAAATACATTTTCCCAGCTGTGGTTTGTTGAATCTGCGGATGCCAAGGGCAGACTGTTAGAGCCAAAAGTCATGCGCGGATTTTCAACAGCCCCTGGGTGGGTCCCCCGCATCCATGTGCTTGTTCAAGCGTCAGTTGTATAACAAGAAAGCTGAGGTAGGTCACTTGTGGTCAAAATCCTTATCGGGCAAATCAGCTGTGGCAGCGGAATTGTAAAAACAATGAGGGGAAGGGCTATGGAGGAGGTGATGGAGACTATGGGAAACGGGAGGCTCATGTACTCAAGTTGTGCAAGTCAGGGAGACAGAGAATGCAGGGCGGGGGGGCTGGNCGCAGTCCTTTGGGCCTAATATCTTTACTGTGAGGTACGGTTGTGATGCCAATTGTCAAAAAACGTGCCCTACCTTTTTTTTTTTTTTGTACAGCTATTTTTTTTCCTCCCCCACTCTGTGGCTATCTTTTTTCTTGTCAATGATAGAAGTTCAAACCTGATTTACCCATATGACTAAAATCTTCAAGATTTTAATAGCTTCATCTGTTGCATGAATTTTGCTTTTATTCTTGACGACATTTTCCTCAGCTCCCTCTGGCTTCCTGTTTTCATTCGGGTTGATTGCTTTCTGGATCCTGCTACTCATTTTTCTTCTGAGATTTATTTTCATGCACTCCTAGTTGAATTCCATTGTTCGCTCTGCTGTTTTCTCTTTCTTGGGTTCCTTTTCTTCTGCTGCTGGATGACATAATCAAGTAAATATTTTTTCATGTAAATATGTCCAAGTAAATATTTTTGTCATAAAGGGTAAGTACACAGTAAAGTTTCTGTCTTTGCATATGTGAAAAGTCTGATGTTTTCTATCACACTGGTTGATAGTTTAGAAGGGTGTACAGTTTTAGATTGAAAGGTTTTTCCTCTCAGAATGTTGAACTCTTGCTTTGTTAGCTTCCTAAATCTAGTATTGTTAAGAAGAATTCTAAGGGCAATATGAAACTTCTTTCTTTGCACATAAGTTATTTTAATTATCCCTTGCAGTATGTTTCTTTTGCTTTAGTATTCTGAGTTCCACAAATATGTCTACATATGGATTGTTTTTTTCATTCATGGGTCTGGGGACTTCCAACTGAGAATTCTTGCCATTGTTTATTTAGGCAATAGTTTCTTCTTGTATTTATTTGATTGTCTTCTGGCCTTATTTTACCTGTTCTTTCTTTCGTATTAGAATTTATATTAGATGATTGAAACTTTCTTAAATAAGCTTCCATGTCTTTAATGTTTTTGTTTTATCAAATTTTATTCACTTTTTTTAAGTTCTACATTTTAATAGATTTTTCTCACCCAGTACTTCTATGAAATGTTTTCCTCAAATATCTGGTGACCTTTGATTCTTCATTTCTGTTCATGAATAAAAGACCAGGTGGGTTACTACAGGTGGGTGGTATGGCTTTTGTCTGCTATTGTGCTTCTTCCATGAATGCAAAGTCGAGTGGGAGCTCTGTTTGCTTGCTCATTTATTTATTTACTTATTAATTCAACAGACAAGTAAAAAGTGCCTATTGGTTGTTCTGGGAAATACTGAGATGCCCTGGTGAGCAAAATAAAAATGATTCTTGCTTTCATGGACCTTTGTGTTTAGAGGAGATGCAATCAAAATGCATTCAAATAAATGAGTTATAACACACCTGCATATGAGGAAAGGACCAGAGTTATATGGAAGCATATAATACAGTAAACTGACATGGCTGCTAGTAACAGAAAACCGAGATGTCACACACAGAGAAACTGAACTAAAGAAAAGGGAATGGCTCATTTAGTGAAGAATGCATGTTTTGAATGATATTGTTAGGAATCTCTTTCTTTTCTTCACTTGTCTTCATTTTCTCTGTGTTGTTTTCAACCCTAAGGGGTTCTCCACAAGTGGTGACAAAGATGGCCACCAGTGGTCAAAGTTAATGTCCTACAAACTAGCAACTCTATCCTAACAATTAAGAAACTTGTAACATCTAACTTAACTGTCTCCTACTACTTAAGCAAACTCAAATAAAAGATGTCTTTCTCAGAAATTTCATAATGGTCCCATCATTATGTTGCATTGACCTATCTTGTATCATCCATCCTTCTCTGAATCTATGACTCTGCCTGAGAGTATGGAGTGCTCTGATTGGCTAGGTATGTGTGTCTCCCTCATTGAGGGATGGAGTCAGCCATAAAGCCTTATTTAAGGACAATTAGTTTCACAAAGAAAAATTGGTCAAGACAATGAATGTGCAATGGAAAATGCATAACATTTGATTGTAGATGGATTTATGTTCAACTCCCACTTTTATGTTCCATGCTATGTGATTAGGAGCAAATCAATCATCTCTCTGAGCATTTCCTTCCCTTTAAAGGAGTATACCTATCTTGCATGGCTTTGAATATATAACATAAATAGTAGCATTACTTTTAAAATAAGAATATGGGCCAGCTGAGTGGCGTGTTGGTTAAGAGCTGGCTTGGGATGCCAGAGGGCCCCGGTTCAGATCCCATATATGAGGGCCAGTGACACTGCCCTCTACAGNTATATATACATAATTTTGCTTAGATTAACTTGTAAAACCATTTAGATCACCCTGGATGTTATAAGGGTCAGGTAACCATATCCTGTAATTTGCTGAGTGTAACTGAAGGACTGAGACTTAATTAAACTTTTTTCCACACCTATGCCAGAACTGTTTGTTTGTTTGTTTGTTTGTTTATTTATTTATTTTTTCAAGAGAATCCCAGGTTGATTTGCAGGACCTGGAGGCTGATGTGGTCCAAACTGCCTGAGGCCCAAGCAGCATGGAGGATAGGACTCTATACAGACCTCTTCATGAACTATTTTCATTATACTCTCACTATAATACTAAAATCTCTTCCCATGGGTGGAGGCTTCCACCATTTTTGAACACGCGATGTATGTATAGGCATGTTTGTTCACTGTACATGCGCAGGAATGTCCCCACCTACACACGTGATGTCGTGAACTCACCTTGACGTTTATGCGTGATTTCCTGGAGTCCAGATGAATCTGACTGTTTTTTCGGACACACGCTGCTTTGGATTTGGGCAAGAAATTTAACTTCCTTTAGCCTGAGTTTCTTCCCCAGAAGGGTGGGAATATTGATAACATTCTTGCAAGACTGTTGTGAGGGGAAAAGTGAATTTGGGCAAAGGTTCATAGTATGATGACCAGCCTGGCAGATGTAGGTGTCCAATAAGAGGAAATGGGTATTTTTTTTGAGGATGGAGGTTGTTTTCTCCATTCTTCTAGCCTTGACACTTTCTTGAATAAAAGCAGTAATGCTTTTTTTACACCAGGTGTTTCTTCTGTGGCATGATATAATTTTTCTAGACTTCTGTATAAAATTGTACCTGTACTATGTTCTCATTTACATCAAGCTGTACTCTCAGCTGGCTATTTGGATGAACAATCTTGATTGTGGCTGACTATCAAAGTCTGCTGACATGTTTCTAATGGTCCTCTAATGGCTGAGCTCAAAGGGGAATCTAACAGTGACCTCCAGTTATAGAAAATTCAGAACAAAGATTTGGCATTCTCAAATCAACTATGTAGGTAGTTGCTACTGCTGATGGTGTGAGTTTTGTCTGGTCAGCATGGAGCAGAGAAGAGCAGTCAAGTTGGTTCTGCTCCTGAGGGCATTGCCAGCCCCTGTCAGAGATAGTAGGTAGTCTTGTAATTTTAAGTGTCACCTCTTCTTATGAATTACCCCTTTTAAAGGCACTTCTCCCATACTGTCTTTTTATTATGTTTTATTTTGAAATTGTAAGCTGGATTTGTTCTGTAGCAGAGTCTTGTCAACATAAAATTTTGAATGAATTGATTAAACTATGATTATCAGCCCAAGTCTGATAATATTCCCAGGCACCTAGTTTTATGCTGTTTTGTTTAATGAGGTATAATCAAAGATTTCCTTCTGCTTCTTGAGGAGCATTTAGATGGCAAGAACTGCTGATCAACTTGATTGTTCCATAAAGATATAAATGTTACTGGTAGAGCTCACTTGTTTAGAAGATGCTTCTGGAACTGGTACTACATTAACGTGATAAGGCGATGCATCCAGGTGAGTGAAATACATGTCAGAAATAGAGCCTATGAAAATTCACTGCTGCCTGTTTCCTTTAGTTCCTTTCAGCAACAAGCTGGAAGTGTGTTTTCTTTTAGCTTTGTTTCTTTTGACACTTCACTTTTTTTTTTTATCAGCAACAAGGGATGTGTTGTTTCATCTTCTGTTTTTAATCTCTGTTTTAACCCCCCCTCCCCATGCCAAGAACAAATTAAAGGTCTATTTTTCTTGATAGCTAAGATTGTTATCCCAGGAAATGAGTCAGTGAAAACATGTCTGCATTAAACGCCAGTGGCAGAATCTGTTCTTAATGAAATGTATTGTTCTAGCAAGAGCCCAGACTTCAACAAACAGATCAGATGACTCTGCCCGATGACCACCTCCAAAACCTTTGCCAATCAAGTCCACATGCCAAGTTATATACTTGGGAGGAAATGCTTCCCACAGGAAATCCCCAATATGCCTATTTGGAGTGGATAAAATATGGCTACTGTTCCTTTGTAATGACTGTGATAGGGGTCATATTACAAGGTTATTTCCCCCTAGAATCTGGCCTGCCCTGTGACTGTTTAACTAACTGAAGGCTGTGCAAGTGACACTTGCCTAAGTGGGTCTAAGCTTTAAGAAAATCTGGAACCTTCTCTTTTCCATTTTTGGGAGCCCTGAGTAGCCATATAAAAACCTGGCTACCCTGTTGCAGAGACCACACGACACCACATGGAGAGAAAGACCAATCCATCTCAGCGTCCGAGGAAAGCCTCTAAATCGCTTCAGTCTCATTCCCCTTCGGTCTCATTACAACCTTGTGAGAGACCTGCCCCAAAGACCTGTAACATGGGGTTGGCTTTAGGATGGGTAAAAGCTGGAAGGGACTCAAGGAGATTGTTAGTGAGGCCGGGAAGGAAATCTGAGGTATCGTCTCGAGACAGTTTCTCTTGACTGCACTGGATAAGGTGAGGAAGCCAGCATGCCCACTTTCCGTACCCTTCGGGTTTTCGTCAACTTCCCAGCTTCAGCCAGGGGTACCATGATTTTCACATAGTCAACATATT